TTTCCCGTGGTAAAAATGACAACTGTAAGGCTGGTTTTGGCTCTTGCCTCTATTTTTATTGGCCTTTATGGAAGATGGACGTGCACAATGCCTTTTTACAAGGCGATCTTCTAGAGGAAGTTTACATGCAGCTGCCTAAAGTCTTTTGTAGCCAGGGAGAGAATACTGTTTGCAGGCTACAAAAGTCACTATATGGTTTAAGACAGGTATCAAGGCAGTGGAATGCAAAGTTAACAGAGGCTTTACTTATAGCAGGCTTTGTTCAAAGTAATAACGACTATTCCTTGTTCACAAAGAAGCAAGGATTGAAGATTGTAGTTGTGTTAGTCTATGTGGATGATCTGCTAATTACAGGAAATGAAGAGAGCGTGATTCAGGGGCTTAAGGAAGCTTTGCATAAAAGCTTCAAAACGAAGGATTTAGGTGAGCTAAAATTCTTCCTTGGGTTTGAGATTTTAAGATCAAAATATGGTATTTTATTAAATCAGCGTAAGTATGTGTTGGAACTTCGTCTGTGCCCCTTCATATTTTTATAAGGCTAAATTCCAGAGGTTAATTGGCATATTGTTGTATCTAACACACACCAGACCAGATATAGCATTTGCAGTTCAACACCTCAGTCACTTTATGCATCAGCCAAAGAAAGAGCATGAAGAAGCAGCATTGAGGGTTGTTAAGTATGCAAGAAAAATCCAGGTTTGGGAATCATGTTAAAGTCAGTAAGCAAGTGTGAACTAATAGCTAGCTGTGATTCAGATTGGGATACATGTCCAATGACAAGAAAATATGTAACATGTATAGTATTAAATTGGGAGAATCTTTGGTTTACTGGAAATAATAAAAAAAAATACACTATAGTTATCTCTTTTGCAGAAGCTGAATATAGAAGTATGGCTTTGACTACTTCAGAAATCATTAGGTTAAATGGATTGCTAAAAGAACTAGGAGTCAAGGTTGTACAACCAGCCAAGCTCTTGAGTGACAGCAAACCAACAATCCAGATAGCAGCCAATCCAGTTTTTCATGAGAGAACAAAACACAGATATTAATTGCCATTTCATCAGAGAAAAATTTCAGCAAGGATTAATTCAAACAGACTATGTGGCTACCACAGAGCAGGAAGCATATATTTTTACTAAAGCTTTGGGGACAGCACTGTATGAACTTCTGCTATCCAAGTTGGGAGTAAAAGATGTGTTTTACTCACCAACTTGAGGGGGAGTGTTGAGTGGTTGATAGTTTGTTAGTAGCAGTTTATTTGTTATGCAGTTAGTCGTGAAAATAATTTAGTCGAGTTTGCCTGTATATGAACCCCTGGTTGTACAGATCTTAAGATATATGAAATGAGGAATTTTTTTTTTCATTTCTTGTTTTAGTATTACTCTTAACATCTATAGATCAAAGATTTTCTCTACTATTCATTTTTTTCTCGTTAAATGAATCGTAGGGAAAGAATCACGAAGGCATCACCAAGTGTCAACAAACCTCCAATAATATATTGACACTGGGATCATATTATTTAATTCATTTGGAGTCTCTTCTGGTGCCCCTATTTTACCCGCCGTTACTGTTTCTAGGTGATAGAAACAATCAAAAGGGATTTTTCGGTTCTCTTATTGTGAAAACGAAGGAATCACCTATTATTCATTTCCAGTTAGAGCTGGAAAAAACCATTGGGAAGAATGAGAGTTTTCGTGGTATGTTATCTGAATGGATGACGAAGCCAGCCGTTGAGCGACTATGGTTCGATGTAACGACTATAGTCGAAGGAGAGAAACTGAAGCCCCTTACGATCACGAAGGTCCGACCTTTTGTTAGTGTGGATACCGTGTCATGGAGTAATTTGTTGTCAAACATTTCTTTTACAAAGTTCCCATCTGTTCTAGTCCCTAGAGAAGCTTTGACATTGAATGTCAAACGGTAGTCGAAAACCTTGTAACATGTGAAATTTACAGATCAATGCTCTGTGTCATTATCTGCCTGTTTATTCCTTGGTTGATTATTGTAACATATGCATGTGAATCACGTCGAACCAACCTTTGATTGGTTTGTAAATAAGATTTAGATAAACAGAAAGAAGAGTGATGAAAGAACAAGGTGGGGTTAAATGGAGATTGGAAATGGAACTACTTTGGAATCACCTACCCCAGGCAGCTTTATTAAGTATTGCGGCTGTAAGACCATCATTGAATAATGGAGGGGGCGGATACACCAATATGGAGATGGGAGGAGAATGGAAAGTTCACGTTAAAAAGTGTTTACTGTCGACGGATAGAAGCTACAGGGAACACGACATCACCAATGTGGAAAACCATCGCATGTTATAGAGGACTGCCGAGGATTCGATGTTTACTTTGGGTGATTTGTAAAGATCGTTTAATGACAAATGTAGAATGAACCAGGAGACACTTCTCGGATAATTCATCCTGTAGCTGCTGTGGTGCTATTAAGGAAACAACATCTCATATATTCCGAGAATGTTTCATAGCAAGAACAACATGGAACAAATTAATTAAACCAGAGAAGATCAATGGAATTTGCTCAATGCCAATAGATGAGTGGATACGGACCAACCTGCGAGAACCAAGCCATTTCTCGAGACGATGAGAGGAGTGGGACCTTGTTTTTGGATCAATTATATGCAGTATTTGGGTTCGTCGAAACAAGTTCATATTCGACCCTGAATTTACCGAGACTGAGAGCGTGCTGCAATCGGCTATACGACTTCAAATGGAACATGCGTTAAATCTTCATCAGCTACGACCAATAAAACGAGGAATACAGCACGAACAACAACAACAACAATGGCAGCCTCCCCAGAGGGATAGTGGAAGTTGAATATTGATGGAGCTCGCAAATTAGATATAGGAGTGACTGCTTGCGGGGGAGCTCTACGAGATTTTAACGGCGAATGGATAATGGAATTAACAAAAGCTTTAGGACGATGTTCAGTACTAGAGGCATAACTATGGAGAGTGGTCTTGGGACTTGAAATGACATGGAATATCGGTTTACGAAAGGTCATGGTAGAGACAAACAGTAAAGAAATATTCAAACTTTTGATGCAAGGTGCGTTGATGGATAAAATATCACCGATGGTACCACATGTCGTCTGGTTAATTCAGCAAAAGTGACAGTTACATTTTGAACATACTATGAGATAACGAAACAGAGTTGCCGACGGATTGACAAAGATGGCATGGAACCTCCCATTTGGACTCCACAACTTTGAAGACCCTCCGGCGAAGATAGGAAACCTATGGATGAACGATCGAAGAGGAAACATAGTAAACTAGCTTAGATCTTTTCTACCATTGTGTACTCAAAAAAAGAACTTTCACTCGTTGGGCGAATTTATAAAATGGGTGAAATTACATGTTTGGTACCTAAACTATTATTTTTATCCGATTTAATACCTAAACTTTTGATTTTTTTTAAAATGATACCTAAAGTTTATTTTTTATTATTATTTTAGTATCCCTGTTCAAAATTTAAAGTTAAGTTTTGAAAATAATTTGAAAGTTTAGGTATTAAGATGGACTAAAATTGATAGTTTATGTACTAAATGTGTTAAGTTTTTAATAATGGGGTACTAAAATGAAACAAAGGCTAAACAATAGTTATGGTTTAAAAAAAATTAAAAGTTAGGTACTAAAATATGTCAAATCTGATAGTTTAAGTACTAAATACACAATTTATCTTTAAAAAAATTAGGGTGATAAACGTTTAATTGAATAAGTTCGATAAAGTTATTCAAGTTTTTTATTCTGTTTTATTCAAGTCGAATAGAATTTTACAATTTAAATAATTTGAGTTTCTGACCATTTCAAAAAATATCCAAATTGATACCTATCGAGAAAAGTTTTTTAAAAAATAAAATAAAATAAAATTTTGGAATAAATCATAAAAATTGTAAAAGTTATATAGGCATATACCATCTTTAAAACTCTTTTATAAAGAAAATGTTAAGTCATAAAAAAATTTAAAATCTTATTTTTTTTTTATTTTGTTTGAACTTTTGAATATACACGATTTTTTTTAATTAATATGGACAAAATACAAGATAATATATATTTTAAAATAATTCTCAATCTCTTATCATTGAATATTCACACATTTGACGTTCTCGGTGCTCGAACCCGAATCTCAAATTTAACTTGATTATCGTTGGTAAATTAAATTAAATCTTACCAACCACGGAGACCACTCGGCTCATTATCGTTGGTAGGATTTAATTTAAATTATGTTAAATTTAATTTAAATTATATTAAATTTAACTTGATTCAATATACATAATAATAAACGTAGCTGATGATGAATAAAAAATCGACCATTGGATTGGACCACAGGAATGATAAAACCATGGATTTATAGAGCAGTGTGAAGCAGAAACACGTGGAAGAAATTTAGGTTAGAGAGTATAAATTTAAAAAATTATATTAAAACTTTAGAATAGGAAAAATTATAAAATTTTAAAAAAGTATAAAATTAAATAATTAATAAAAAAATCTATAATATTAAACTATATAAAAAAAATTAAAATTTTTAAGGATACTCAATCTGTTGGGAAGAGTGAACGTCGAACAACATACCAATCCAAAGCTATTGACCAAACTCATAGTTCAGTTTTGACTGTTTCTTTTTTCAGGTTCCACTTTTGTGTTCTCGCGAATCTCAATTGTCCCATCTCTCTGTTTCTTCACTCGTTTTCTTTCCTTGAATGAATAAACAAAATGATTTCTCGCTTGTTTAGTTGCTGAGTTTGACTTACTCCTAAGCAAACCCACCAAAACCACTTCAGATTTTTATATATATAATTGACCAATTCAACGATGTCTCATTTTAATCATCAGCACATACTTTGAGTATATATTCATTAAAGTAAAACATATAGAATTTTAATATTTTATTTATAATATGAATCTATGATTGAATGATTGACTGAAATTTAGTGTTAATCTAACAAAAATTGCATTTCTTTCTAAATATTTATGTACATTGATAGATACATCCACTGTTGTTTCAACCATTAAGCCATTCCAGACTATACCATTTTTCTGCAACTTGAACATGTAGGTCCGGCACCGTCTTTTCAAGATTTCTCCACTCGTCGAAAATTTCTTCCTCGCAGATCACTCTCTGTAGCGACTTTAAGTTCGATAAAGCAGCCGGCGTTGGTAGATTCACGATCTGTGAACAGTCCCTCATGTCTATCTTTTCCAACCTTGTTAATCTACTGATTTCCCTAGGTAGACATTTCAAGTTTATGCATTGTGAGATATCGAGGTACTTCAACCAGACTAGCTCGCCAATGCCGGGAGGGAGCATCTTGAGTTCCGGACTAGCGTAGAGCCTAAGTATCTGAAGTTTCTTCAGCATACCTAAATCAGCAGGCAATTCGCATAATCGGTGGCAGTTGGTTATGCTCATACTTTGTAATGAATTCACCTTACAAATGCTCAAGGGCAGCCTAATCAGATCATCACAATGATCAATTAAGAGCTCCGATAGACTAGGGAAGATCTGGGGCAGGTTGAGCACCGATGGATCAAGGCTGTTGCTAACCTTGCAGAGAATCATTGATAGTTTCCGCAAGTTTCTCAATGGAACAGTTGCGTTGGATAATTGAGGAACCGTCACCTTTTCAAGCCATAAGCTCCGCAAATTCACCAGATTAGTAAAAACTGAAAAATTCTGAAGCGTTGCTTCAGATGTACCGTGGTTTATAATGGTCAATGCCCTAAGCTTGGGCATATTATCTATGAAAGGAGGCAAGAAGTATTCATCCGCCAAAAAATTGAGGATGAGTACTTCAGCCTTAGGGAACTCCATGGGGAACCAGTCCATCTCCCTCATTTCTCCTGTCAATTGATGAAAATTAAACATAATGCGCAATGACAGTGAAATGGAAAATTGTACACCCTAAAGAAATACTGATATTGGAAATCCGGAATCATAATACCTGTATGAACCGAAACAATCTGAGCATTGAATGGCTGATCTTTGTTTTTCTCCCATTCTCTTGGAAGTTCGGTATCTCTTCTAGGCATAAGTAACCGCTTCCGATCATTCACATCTCCCTGATTGCTTAGATGAATAGCAAGGTCTCTCAACACATCATGTTGAGTAGTACAAATTTCATAGTAACTGCAGAATGCATCCCCAGCCCTGTGAATACAATTCCGAAAACAAAAAAAAATTAGCAAATCTCAAGTATTCAAGAAACTAAAGCCACTTGAATTAACATACCGAGCATCTTTGAGCAGAGTGAGTTGGTTTTTCTCATAGAGCTCCGTAAGAATGGAAAAAGCTTCTTCCTCGTCAATGTTATGGATTTCAACCCACATATTTACAAGAGCGTCAAGAGGGATTTTCTTATCTTCAGGAAATGATCCCAAATCCAAGAAACATTCCCTGACCTTCTTCTTCAAGCACTCAACACTGATTGCCATTCGATCGTGCAATTTGCTTTCATGAGTTTCGCAGATCGGTTCACCTCGCGATAACCTTTTCCATGCATTTATCCAGTACATTTCAGGTTGGTCTTGCAAGGAAGCTCCAATGACTTTAAGTGCCAAAGGAAGCCCTTTACATTCATTAACAATCTATCAAATCCAAAATTTTCACAAACATCAGCAAGGTTAATAGCTAGCTTGATTATCCACTATTAAGTAATCAAATATTATTCCGTTAAATGCATCATTACCTGCTTGACCAAAGTCGCATTGCAGGTTGGAGGAATCGACCTATTTCCGAAAGCAGAGTGACAAAATAAGGACATAGACTCATCTTCCCTCAACAATTCAACTTCATAAACTTCATTAACAACTGTTTTTGGGAACCTGCATCTTGAAATTACCAGTGTTGTATATGTTGGGATCTTGAAAATTAGTTGTTCGAGTACAGGCAACGACCATACATCATCCAGAACAACTAGAGTTCCAGGTCCACTTCCCCAGTCAAACTGTAGCTTCCCTGGTGGAACAAAACTGTTATTAGAATGAGACATGGAATCGTTTCCAGTAATAAATCCCCATATATTTGCCCTCAGTTGCTCCAGATCCGATGATTGTGATACAGTTAGAAACAAAATCTTGTTGTTGAAATAACCTTGAAAAACAAAAATGGAAGCTGTTAATATTTACTTTCAGAATCGACCATTAACAGATAAAAGAAAGAAGCTGTTGGATCACTTACTTCGAACTTGATTATCTCTACAAATTTCATTTGCCAGAGTCGTCTTCCCAGATCCTCCAATACCCCAAATTCCAACAACGCTTAAATCATCTCCTTCAATCAACATCTTTTTCACCTTATTTTTCCCCAATTCCAAACCGATTCCACCAAAAGTTCCCAAATTAGAATCTTCTTCGACTTCCATTCCCTGTCGACCCGTTGTTCCCGGTCCAGCGTTCATCGCATCGAACCGCCGCTCCAACCGGCCGAACCGCTCCATCGTTTCGGACCTCAAGTGGTGCACGTCGGCTAACAAATGAGCCTGCATTGGCCCGCTAATGAACCTTTCAATTTGTTTCTCCAACTTCTCCATCTTCCTTACCAGCTGGAGGTTTTTGTAGACGTTCCACCGGCCGGAATCGAGGACTTTGCCGGCCAACTCGAGGCCTCCACGTAAAGTCTCGGAGAAGCGATTGAGTTGAGACTGACGGAAAGCGGTGAGTTCGACGCCGGAGTACTTGAGTTCTTCGATGATGGGAAGGAGTTCTTCGATGCTTGTGATAAGATTGTCCGCACTAGATTTGCAGAAGCACGATTTGCGTGAGATGGTGTTTAACTGTCGGAGAAGTTCCGTTACGATTTCTCCGGCTAAAAGGTCGTTAAACGGCATCGTGAGTTCGTTGGTTTAATCGGCGGGCAGCCGTTTCGTAGGACAGTGAGTAAATGTGTTAGATCCCAAATGGTTACCGTAAACTAAACAAAAAGAAACAAACTGCCTTCAAAAGTTCAAAAGGCTATAATTTATAGCATCTTTTTTTAAAATATTTTAAAGTTTTTAGTACATAAATTTATCATTTTTTTTTCAAGAACTTTCCCGCTTGTGTCGACAATTGAGTTATTTTTAAATATTAATTTTAGTTGGTCAAAATTTATATTTTTAGATTTTTTTATTATAATCTTGGAGAGGGATACATATATGATTATAAAATGGAGAGCGTAACGTACTGAAAAATAATATATATATGAGACATTATTTTGATATAATGAGTTTATTTACAGGATTTTTCGATTTTCCCTCTCTAATAATTATCTGCTTTTACTTTGGATTTTATAATCTATGAAATATATATAAATATATTTAAATTATTGTCTAAAAAGATGGTAACAGGCTAGGGAAATGATTAATAATAAATCGCAAATTCTTTATGTTACGTGTTTTGAATAATATATTTAAGATTTTGTATTTCACAGATGATTTATTTGTAGATATATATATTTTAGTTACACGCAACGCAAAGGCTAAAAGTAACCTAATGCTTGTGGTTCACTTGATGTTGCATACCTGGAAACCAAATCCGTGTTCAAAAGGCAAACCCATCTTAAGGTTACAAAGTATCCAAATTTATATCGTAAATTATTATAATATAATGTAAAAGAATAATATGAATATCATCCGCTTGTAAGTATAAATGTTAATGCTTTTGGTTTGACGTTAATTTATAAATTTAATTTTATTTTTAGTTTAGTTGATCAAGGGTCGTTTGGGAATTAATTATGGAACCATTTTTCACTTAAAAATCCGTTTAAAACGTAAAAGTAATCTCAAACACCTCATTTTCAACTAAAACAGTATGCTTAAAAAGTGATTATTGACTAAAAAAACTAAAAAAACGATATTTTTGCGTTTGAAACACTTACTCGTTTTGAGAAAATATTCCCAAACGAAAATATAAATTTAATCAGTACAATTATTAATTTAACATTTAAGAAATTATAGATCCTCACGCACTTAAGTTTGTTATAATTTTTATTTTTAAATTTGAGGAATACGATTAAAATATGTTAATTTATCAAGTTATTTTAGTAGTTAAAGGGATAATCGTTATATTTAGAGTTCTCAGATTCAAGCACCTCGTTTGTAAAGATGTTTAAACGCTCACTGTTGAATGATTGAAAGTCTTTCGAATATATATTATATTATAATAAAAAATTCATAAAACATAATTTATTATATAAGATAAAAAAGACGCATCGGTCGTTTTTGCGCAAAGTATTAGAAGCGTAGCTATGATTCTGATATCAACAACGGAATTGGTTTTTGTTTCACAATTGACTTATGATTTTGAGAAAGAAAACCAGTTTTTATTAGAGTTTTCCAAATTTTAAAAAATAAATTAGATAGTACCGATGCTTTTAAACTAACAAAATGCATGGTGAAAATGCAATTTAAGTAATCAAATACATTGTGAAGAATAATGCCGCTGATAAGCTGAGGATTTCTTGGGAATTGAAGAACCAACAGTCAAATACGCAAAGCTTGACTATGAAAGCGGATGACAACGATCGTTATCTCTAAAAAAAAAATTAAATTTTCATATACTTTGATATTTTTTCATTTTTAATTAAAAATTTGTTTTAAATTGTTAAAGTTTTATAAATTCATGATTCTTTAGAGTTTTAAAAAGCATGTAGGGCATCTGTGGGCGCGGAACTAAATTCCTCTAGAGAAGCAGGCATAGCGAGAAATAAAAAGCTCTTCGGACGTTTTTGGAGCTTATTGAAGAGGAGCAAAGGTGTCATGGTTGTCTCCTATATGGGGTCACGACCGAGTAGGTATGTCAAGGCCAATCATAAATAGAGCTCATTGGCAGGGTAGGATAAGTTTGTCATCTTTTCAATCATTTTATTGTTTTTAGGTAGGGAACATGAGTAAGGCAGCTGACCCCAGTCCGAGCATTTTAGCATCTACCCATAGTATTTTTTGTTATTTTGTTTTCGCACATATATAGGGGTAGACAGTCGGCAGAGTTTGAACTGCTCCACTGATAAAGGCATATGTCTTGTGAGCACCATCAAGGGCTACCCCTACGACCTAGTCGATGGTGTGAGTGAGTCTTCTGTAACCCGATGTAATTCCATTAATATATTTTTCCCTATGAGAAGTCTGAGGTCGATCGAGTGCATTAGCTATGCCCCACGGTCTCGACCCTTGGCTTGAAGGGCTTTGTTGTAGAGATGATATAATTTAATGTGTGCTTGTGTTTTGATCAGACATTCAAGATAAAGGCTGACTTTACAAGGAAAGTGTTCATTTTCAAGTACCACACATATTACAAGTATAACTAACCAGGTTAAGTCCATGAGACTTGGTATTAAAGCACAAATGTGCATGATCCTTTTTAATTAAAAAAATACAGTGGTGCTCATTATTGATTAATGTTTAGCAGGACAAAATTGTTGGATAAAGCACAAAGGTGTTGAGTCGTTTATCTATGCACGTAGGTGTCAGACTTTAGATTGAAGCACATATGCGCTCAATTCTTTTGAAAGCACAGAGGTTCCACATTTTAGATTATAGCACAGAGGTGCTCAATCATTTTAAACACAAAGGTGCTAGATCTTGGATTGCAACAAAGAGGTGCTCAATCCTCTTTTAAGCACATACGTTCGAGTATAAATTGAAGCACAGAGGTGCTTAATCACTAATTCAAGCATAGAGGTGCTATGAGTTTCGCACGGTGGTGATATTTGTGATGTAAACTTCAAGGTGTCGAAGAATAAGGAAAATGGTTTGTATGCATAATGGTGGGTCTACGAAGCCCCACAAAAATGTGGAGCACGAAGTCACGGTGCCTATCATACAAGATAAAAAAAATTGTGGATCGACGAAAAGTAGAGGAGATACTATTGGGATCATCGATATACCCTATGGCACAACAGAAAAATAATTCGACGATCTCATCAGTGGTCCATGTATGAAAATTTGAATCTGGAGGAAAGGATGTATAATTTACCTTGAGTTCTTGAAATAACAGCATATCGACAGTGTCATCATAATCAATTCGAATCTCAAGCCTCCAAAAAACCGTCTCGGCCTATACTCAGTTCACCTGATTGAGAGCAAATTTTCTTTTCTCAAAACTGTTTTGAGAAGTTTCGTCAAAGTGGTAGAATAGTTGCTAGACCATCATTTTCTTTTTATACGACAGTCACCTTAACCCTTAGGGTTTATTCCAAATTATTATTATTTTTATATACTAAAAGAATTATAATCATATTTATATTCTTTTAATATTTATTTAGTATATTTGGGATAATCAAAATTATATATATAATATATATATATATATATATTAACTTTAATTGTATACTTTTATTCATGCACAATAAAATTATACAACTCGTTTAATATTTGCTCATTTTAACCCTGGGGTGTGACCTTGTAGGTTCCTGTAACATTAGTAATAATTATTAGAACCATTCTAATATTACAAACTATGAGTGATATCTAGCAATGTATCATTGTCACCTAAGTTACAAGAAGTCATGATTCGACATAACCTCTTCGTGATTAACTCTTTTTATATATTATATCTTTTTTTCCTTTATATCTAGATTAGACACAAGTCCTGGAATATTCACACTTGTATAGTCCATCTAATGTTTCTTGATGTCTAGAGTAGATTATAATAAACGAACAACTTGTGATATCTAATATCAACTTGTTCGAGCATGGCCATCTATTTCTAGTCTCACTCAATCAAGTGGCCTGTGATATATATCCTATTATGTAGGAAGGACAAATCATATCTTGATAACTCATATCCCACTGCATATATCTCGATATGTTTAACATCTGTCCTTATAGTGTAACTAATTACTAAGCACATTTAACTGTGTCAAAACATACGACAATAGATGTTGAGATAGTAAGATCTAAAGTATGAGGATCATACATGTAGTCATCACCATGAGCATTATTGTGACCATCACATATTAATCCAAGACATATGCTAATAGCGGGTCAATCCAATATGTTGTTCTCTAACAACATACTCTTGTATCAATTTAGACTTCTCCAACAACTCATTGTCATCAATCAATCACATGTTGGCCTTGAACATATTATTATTGTCCATACCTATAATAATACTCGACCAATGATATTTTAATAATAATCGCATTATTATATGGATTTTATTATCTTTCAGTTTATTTAAGATACATAAATATGAATAAAAATAATAACGACAATGCCTTTATTCAATAAACAAGGTAAAAATTATATCAATACAATCATCTTATTATTGATCTTTTGGCATACTCTAACAGATAGAAAATACATTGGCAGTCCTTAGAGCTCATATGATCTCGGGTGATCGAATGAGTCAAGTTGAAACTACTCAAGAAGAATTAACTAAGACAATGAATATACCTAGGAATGAGGAAAGAGATGAAATAGGTCTTATACAACTTAGGTATGATGAGTTAAAGGCCCAAGTTAGTGTTCTTCAAGCAGTTGTAGCTAGTCTGACTGTAAATCCTAGTGAAATGAGTGTAAGGGCCAAGGTTCTCGATCCTCAACTCTTTGATGGGGAAGGGGATGCTAAATAGCTTGAGAATTTCTTATTTGATATATAGTAGTACTTTCGGGTAATGGAACGAAGTCTGAGGAAGAAGAGATGACGATAGCTTTGATATACTTGGCAGGTAACGCCAAGTTATGGTGGCGGTCCAAGTTCAATGATGGAGTGTACTCTATAAAGACTTGTGAGGACTTAAATAAGGAGTTGAAGACTTCCTTATACCCTGAGAATGTACACTACAATGCACGTTCAAATTTGAGAGAATTGTCCCATACAAGAACTATCAGAGTGTATGTGAGCGAATTTTCCACTTTGATGTTAAATATCAATGATATGTCAAAAAAGGATAAAATGTTCTATTTTCTTGAAAGAATCAAGTCGTGGGCTAGGCTTGAGTTACAGAGGAAGAATGTGC